GTGTGGGGCGTCCGCGTGGGCCATGTGGAACCCCACCACCCCCCGATGCTGTCACCGGTGTCACACTGCCTCTGGGTGGAAGCAGCAGCAGTCTGACCGCTGTGAGGTCTGGGCTGTGTGTGCTCCAGCCCGGCCCTGGGCCCTGGGGCCCTCTGGTCCTCGGCAGGCCGACTGTCCCCACCCTCACCCGCTCTGAGCCGCCGTTCTGAAGGGATGGTCGCAGCACTTGGCTCTTCCCGTTCCTGGTTCCCAGTTCCTGGCTCCCCCTTCCTGGAAGCCAGCAGGCACTCAGTGTTTCTTTCAGAACACGTATTCCCTGCCTGGTGTTCGGGTTGTCATGGTGCAGTCTGCAGAACTGAAGGGAACTTGATTCTTCGTTCAGTCTGAAGCGAACGGTTTGGGGCGTGTAGGGTAAAGTGCTGTCATCGATAGAACCCTGGTCGACTTTAATTTGATCCCTGGGAGAAGGAGTAGGTGGGATTCAGTACCACATTTGCAGAAGCCATGGAGATGAAAACGCAGGGCTGGATGTCTGCTTTTCACACATCGTCTGCAACTCGGGCCATTTGCATTAAACTTAAATAGCATAGGGTTCATCTTTACGTGTTCTTGTTTTAAAGTCACAGATTCCATCTGACAATGTGATAGGACAAAATTATATTTTTAAACTTTGCAAGCCACACTCCAGCACTGTGCCAACATAACAATTTCTTGTGTCAAAAATAGCTTTGTCAAAAAAAAAATAGCTTTGTCATAAACTTGCTGGGGAGCTGAGCACCAGAGGCCCTCGGAGTGTGAGTGCTGGCTGAACTGGGACAGTCTTGGTCCCTGTCCCCTTGGCCTCCAGCAGTGCGGAGGTGGCTGGACAGGGAGGAGGACAGAGGCTCCTTTTCTGCCGTGCCTGGCACTGTGCTCCACGGGGATGCTGAGGTGTGTGCCCTGCTGCCTGGGTCATGGTCAGGGCTTCAAGGTGGGGTTGCCAGCAAGGTGGTGGGCAGAGCAGCTGTGTGTCACACTCGTGGACCTTCGCTTCCTGCTGGTGCTGCTGACGCCAGCGCCTCCCTCGGCCTCTGCGCTGAGTCCATGTCTTTGGTGGCCCAGAATAATGACTGAGAGCCGTGAGCCAGCAGATGTTCATTGTTTGAGTTTCCCATGCTTGGTTAGAGTCGGCTGTTTGTAGAACAGCTGACCACCCAGGTACCCAGTGGCCTGGGCATGTGGCACGCTCCCTGCTTAGCAGGTCCCCAGCTGCTGGCAGCCAGTGGGACGCCCCAGACTAGCTCGTGGACATTTGTGTCTCCTTGCAGGTTCCCGTCAACAGCAGCCACTAGCAGTTAGGCCCTGGCTGTGCTTCGGATCCAGGGAGGGAGGGAAAGCTTTCTCACCAGGGAGTGACAGTGGTGTCGGGAACAGTCTTATTTTGAAGACACCAGCTTGCGCCATCTTGCTTAAAATAGTCTTATCCTGAATGATCTCAGGGCTTCACTTAGCGTCCTGCTTCTCCTGTTCTTTGAGACATGCTCTGCCTCCATCAGTGGTCTGAGGGTGACGTTGTAGGTGGCCTTGTGAAGTGACACTGTGTTGGTAAGCTGTGCCTGACCCCATGGGAGGTGTCACTGTGCCCTAGCCCTGTCCTTATCCAGGGTCCAGGCCGAGGAGCAGCCTGGTCTGGAATGCGAGGCTTTGGCGGGCACAATGCAGGCCGGCCTGGCTCTTCCTGGTCCACATCCCTGTCTCGAGGCTGAGGAACGGAGCTCGGGGCAGTGGCTTCTTGGCCGCCTGCCATCCCTGCCCTTGTGTGCCTGTCCCACCTCCTGCCTGGCCGAGCAGAGACGCCAGGCTTTTCAGAAGGAGCCTCTGTTCTGCCTGAAGACTGGTTCCCTTCCTAGTTTCCGTGTGCTTTGGTGTTTGTTGTGTTTCCTTCCGCAGCACTGAAAGTAAAACATCGGAAGTAAAATATGAGAAACAAGTCATAAGTAGTAAATTTAACATTATGAGCTTCTTGGTGGAAAGGATAGACGGTTGTATTTTGGAAATAGCAGGTCATTCTGTGGCACATTTAATTCACTTAATGCAAAGTAAGGGTGAGTTTTCAGAGTGCGTCTTTCCACCCAGGTGCGCTCCACTGTTGTGTGTGTCTTCCCCTGCGCCTGAGGCTGCCCTGTCCCTGGTGTGAGGAGCGGTGTAGCTGGTGGCGTGAGCCTTCTGGTGGCCTCACAGTGGTTTACACTGGACTCTGGGAGAGAGGCACGATCTCCACTTCCGGGCCTCCCTCTGCAGACCCTGCTCTGAGTGGTCGGGAGGTAGCTTGAGTGTTTTGCTGTCCTAGAGCCCCCAGCAGTCTGCATGTGCATCTTCCAGATGCCGCCAAAGAGAGGCTGGGGACAGCGGAGTGGGCTCTTCCAACTTTGCCTTCCCTCCTCACCTGGGAGCCCACAGTGGCGTGGGTGGGAAGCCCCGAGAATGCTGCCCTGTCCCGTGCGGTGTGATTCTTGCGTACACACTGGTTTATCTGCGCGTGTGTTTTTCTGTAAGAGTCCTGTGGAGGCTCACTGCTTCCTTCCTAACGCATGCACGCACTGTACGAAGGCTTCTTTTCCATTCCAGGAGTAGTCCCTTTCTTCCTTCAGGAAGCGCTGGGCCTGGGGCTCTGGGGGTTGTGTCATCACCTCTGTCCAGCTTTCCCCTGGGGTCCGTGGATGTGACGTCACACCAAGGCCCGTGGGCGGGTGGGCGGGCACAGCCAGTCAGGTGCTTCCTGTCTCCAAGTTGAAGAGCTCCATAGCCCTGGAATAACAGGAAGCCTCCCCATTTGCACATCCTGTGTTCTGGGTCCCATGCCTCGCCATCTCGCCGCCATGAAGGTCAGTGGCCGTTTCTATGTGTGTTTCTCTGCCTTCACCGTAGCTTGACTCTCCCAGGCTCTAGAATTAGACCGCAGTGCTCAGCATTTCACAGTTGAGGGGACTTCAGAGTTCAAGTGTAAGGAAGCTAAGGCCTATTAATGTTAATACTTCTGCTTTTCCCCTGATACTGGCTGTTGAGCCCAGGGCCTTCACACTGAGTCCTATCCTGAGCCCTTTTTAATGTTTTTGTCTAGAGACAGGGTCTCACTAAGTCCCTGGTTTGCTCAGGGTGGCTCAAACTTGGATTCTCCTGCCTCAGCCTCCCAGGTGCTGGGGTTATACGCGTGCACCCCCAGTCCAGTTTAAGGTTAGTATTTTCAATTCTTTAAAAAGCTGCTGCTTAACCTGTATTTGCCACGTAACAGTGTAGATGGTGTGGTTGGTCAGCCTGGTTGGCGCTCCCGTTTGAGCTGGGGTTCTTCCTAAGTCATGGGAGCCATAGCTGAGTAGAGCTCTGAGTCCTGAGGTGCTTCCGAAGCCTCTGTTCCGATGAGTGCTGCCGGGCCGCGGGGGTGGAGTGTGTGCAAGTTTGTGTCTTTGTGTTCTCTTCTTGTGGACTCTAACAGTGACAGTGAGCTGTGGTTCAGCGCCTTTCTGTCCTAGTGACTTGATTGGCTTCTGTATTGAGGTTGTTTTCCAGCTTCTCAGTCTTCTCTATTCACGTGTGAACAAACCCTGCAGAACTGGTTTTTAATCTCATTATTTCAGAAATTGTAGACAGAAGATAGCTGGAGGTATTTTTTTGTTTTGTTTTTTGGTAATGGAGCGTGGACCCAGGGCCTTCACACTGTGCTACATCCCCAGGCCTTTTTATTTATTTATGTTTTATTTTGAGACAGTCTCACTAAATAGCTAAATTGTCCATACTGGGCTTGAACTTGGAATCCTCCTGCCTCAGCTTCTCAGAGTGCAGGGATTATAGGTGTGCACTCTCATGGCTGACACCCTAGAGTCTATTGACATTAAATTCATGGTGACATTGAGCACCGAAGTGGGTGGCTGGGTGGGTCAGGACACATTTGCTGGGTGTCAGGAGAGACTGTTGGCCCGGTACTCTCCGGGACGGCGTGTGGGTGTACACCGTGGAGTTAGCCCGATGCTACATGCTTTGGGGACCTGGTTGGGGCTGAGCGACTCTATTCAGTCGTGCTCCTTCAGGAAGTAGGATGAGTAAGGCTTAGCCAGGAAGGAGGTGGGCGGAGGGCAGGAAGTGGGGAGTTCCTGGCAGGCTGTGCTGAGAGGCGCGCAGAGTGGGTGATGGGCACAGGGCGGGGCGGCACAGAGCTGTCCTCCTCCCACTCGTGACCTGTTCTGCCCCAGAGGGAGGAAGCCCGCAGTGTGATACAAGTGTTGGTGTCTAAATACATTGCGGGTGTGGTTTTTTTCTTTTGGTACCGGGGATTGAACTCAGGACCTCATGCTTGCCAGGCAGGCGCTGTGCCGCTGAGCTACATCCCTGGCCCTACACTGTATTTTTCTTTAACCTCTGAGATTTTTTTCTCAGTTTTTCTAGGACAGAGTAGTGGATGGTTTGACTATTAAAATTATTTTTGTGTGCCGTTATTTGGTGATTGCAAGTGACATGTTGTCTTTAGCCAGTATTTGGGAAGAGCTGTGTGTTTCACCAGGAGCATGTGAGCACACACCTGTACACACCCACACCCCCCAGCGGCCTGCACCCGGGCGCCCTCCTGCGCCATGTGTCCCAGCTCCAGGTGGGTGGCTACAGCCCTGGTCAGCTCCGGCCTCTCCACAACCCAGTGGGCGAGGCTGCACAGGCCTGGGTCCAGCCCTGCCCCGCTCTGGTCTGCTTCCTCCGCACCGCTCTGCTCTCTGGTCTGCGTTTCCTGGTGGCTGTGGAGTGGGCTGCGTTCACCTGCGGTCTGTGGCCTCTGTGGAACCTGAAGGGGAGACCCCTCTGGGCCGAGCTTCTGGGGGAGCTCTGGCCACCTGCCGCCCTCTGCCCTGGCCGGGCTGTGCTCTGCCGCAGGTGCTGACCAGGGGTCCACACCCCTGCACCTCAGCCTCAGGGCTCTGTCCTGCTCCACATGTGACACTCGGCACTAATCTTGCTTGTTTAATTTTTCCTTTCAGACGTTTGATGCAAATGATTTGTATCAGGGGCAAAACTTTAACAAGGTCCTCAGTTCCTTAGTGACTCTAAATAAAGTGACAGCAGGTAAGACTTTTTTATTAACTTTGGGGTGTGGGGGGGCTGAAGCCTTTGGTGTTTTGTTCTCAAGGTGCAATGAGCATTGCTGAGCTGTGGAAATGGTCTGCTGCTACCTGCTCTGCCATCCCTCAGTGCTGTGCTCTGGGCTGTGAGGAACTGGGCCCTTCGTGCCTAAGTCCTCCCCTGTGGCAGAGGACTGGCAGTGTGGACTTCCCACACTGGCTGGCCTGTGTTGCTCTGGTCACTGGCAGCTGAGCCTGTTGGAGCAGCAGTGGAGGCTAGGCCAGGTTGCCTCACGGCAGACTGCAGGAAATGCCCTCGGGGCAGGTCTTGTCCTGGGGCAACCTTAGGGGTCTGTCTTTTTGAGTGGAGACTGCTCTGTGGCACTCACTGCTGGCCCTGTGCAGCACTTTAGAAGTGCAGGGCACCTTTGAGCTGTGACAGCTGAGGAGGCCAGGTTGTTCCTGACAGGGACTCACTGGCAGCAGTGTGTAGGCAGGATGGGATGGAAGGGCCCCCCCGGGCTCCTCTGCTGCCTCCCCTGCCCTGGCAGGCTCCCCTGCGGGGATGAGGACCTCGCAGTGCCACGCCAAGTGTGCCAAGAGGTGCTTTGACTCTGGGTTTCTCTGTGATGTCTTCAGACTTTGGGAGTCAACAGCTAATTCTGAGTTTTATAGACACCACACAGGGCAGTGAAAACAGGCGGCTGTGGTTTCCTTAGGAAAGGGCCACTGGCCTCGCTTTTCCTCCTCTGAGTCGAATCACAAGTAAGCAGTGGGCCGCTGGCCCTTGCTTAGTGGTTGGCAGGAGTCTGGGGCGTGGAGCCGAGCCTGGGCCTGCCTGACGTGGGAGAAACACTCAGGCTCTGCTTGGAAGGGGGGCAAGGGCACAGAGGCTTTGGTTCCGGTGCTGTGTGCACGCACAAGGTCTTGGAGAAGCAGGCGTGTGTGATGCTGTTTTCTGCTCGGTAGCTGAAGGAGAGGCTTGTTTTTCCAGGTGAAGGGAAGTACCAAAAACAGTCACAGGGGCCGGGGATTTAGCTCAGTGGTTCCGCCGCCTGCCTCGCAAGCGGAAGGACCCGAGTTCGATCCTGGTACCACCCCCCCCAAAACAAACAAACAAACAAACAAACAAAAAATAGTCACAAAGCATTTCACAAACTGTTGAAAAATGACAGTGGAGAAGAACTGATAAGTAGTTGTCTCCAGATGGCTTCTGGAGAGGTGATCGACTGGGGAATGAATGCCAGGCGTTCATGTAGCAGACAGAATCTGCTCTTTGTCCCTGCGTCAGTGGCTGGCTTTGTGGGCCCTGGTGCGTCCCGCGTGCTGGCCCCGCTGGCAAGTGTGCATGTGGCACGGCTGTGTGGTGTGTGGGCATCTCAAGGCTCTCTGTGTGCTTCATCTCTGCAGACATCGGCCTGGGAAGCGACTCTGTGTGCGCCCGGTCTTCCTCCCACCGAATCAAGTCCTTCGACTCTTTGGGATCCCAGTCTTCACACAGTCGGACTTCAAAATTGTTCCAGGGCCAGTACCGGAGTTTGGTAAGTTGGAGAGGTTTTATTGTCTGAACTCAAGTATGTTTGAGGACTGAGATTGTGGTGGCATGTGTGGGAGAAGGCGCATCTGTCTGCCCATGGGGTCCAGCAGCGATGCTGGCTCCTTACCAGCCCTCTGGGTTTATGCATCATGAGTGCTTTCAGTTTGCTTGCTTATCTGGGGTATGTTAAGGCACAGCGCTCATCTGAAGAGATGGTGCTCCTTAACACACCTCCTCGCCATGCTAGTTTCTTATCTGCTGCGCTCAAATTACAGAAACAGGATAAGAAATCTGTGTGTAGAAGTACTTAGCTGTACAAAGAAAGAGTGGTTAGAACTAAAGAATCAGAAAGTGGCTTTTTCTCACCGTGAAAGCATGCCTTTAGAGCTTTCCTGAGATGACAGGCAGTGCCCAGAGGGGAGCCCCTTGCCATGGCTGCTCAGGCAGGAGGGAGGCAAGTGGACAAGTGGACATGCGGGCGTCCTGGGGAGGGAAGGAGAAGGGGCTCGGAGGTGCTCAGAGTGCAGGCCCCGCCCGACGTGACAGTGAGGCTGGAGACAGCATCAGCGATGGGTCGGGTGCAGCACTGGACACCAGTGCCTGGGCCCCCAGCCACTGCTGCCCCTGGCAAGCAGTGCCCTCCTCGGTGCTGGCCGGGCCTGGCGGTCAGCATCTGTTAGAGCCCAGCTTCCCCTGTGGTTCTCCCTGGAGACAGAGTAATTTGCTGCGAGAGTCCAAGAAGAGCCTGCTTCTTCGAGAGACTTCAGGGGCCCATGGCCATCCTGCTCTGAGGTTTGTTCATTGTGAGAGCTGAACATCATTTGGAGAGTTGTTTATTCCCCAAGCGGCATTAAAAACAGGAACAGCGTGGAAGGAATCAAGTTATCACTGTTCTCATGTTCTGAAGTGAGCCCGTTCCTTGGCTGACCACGCATAGGACAGCTGTGTCATGCCACTCTGCCACACCAGCTCAGCCTCGGTGACTTACCGTGGCCTCCGTCCTGCAGTCCACACGGTCCCTAGGGTGTCACCATCCCTGTTGGAGGACTTGACGCCTGCAGAAGTTTGCACAGTACCGTTGGGTAGCTTTGTGAGGTGTGAGGGACAGCTGAGAGAAATCAGCATGCCTGCCCTCTGCCATGGCAGTTGTTACTTGGGTTTTTTCTTACTGAGTAAAGGTGGAACGGATTGCAAGTGTATAATCTCAAGTAGCATCAAGTTAAACGTAAGGTTGGTAATGGACATTTCTGAAATCCTCATTAGGTGAAGTGAGCTTCTGATGAGCTAGAAGTGTTGTGAGCGGCTTGATCATCGGGTGCCCGCTCTTGCTGTGGGAGGTCCTTTTCAGCTGGCTGGGGGCGCACTTCCTTGGCTGCTGTGAGGTGACCTCCCCCACAGGCTTGGCTGCCTTGGGCCTAGGACCTGATGGTGACTCTGTCTTTGCCCTGCAAGGAGGTTTTCCTGGATGAAACACAGCCTACAGTGAGGCGGGAATGGCCACGTGTGTGTCCGGGCTGGGTGCTGGGTGTGGAGGCACCCGTTGTCTGCTGTCTCCTGTGAGGGAGCTGCCACAGTGGAACTGAAGCTGACTCTTGGCACTGCACCTGTGGCCTTTGTGCCCCGTACAACGTCTGTTCTCAGCTGCTGGCCAAGCGGCTTTGCTCGCGGCCCGTCTCTGCTGCAGGACAGACTCCTGCCTTGATGTGTTCGGGAGACTGAGTGGTTTTGGAGCCAGTTGGACCTCAGCTCCCCAGCTTCTCGCCCAGCAGGGACGATGAGGGATCTCGAGTGTGTGGACCTAGGCTGTAGCTGTCTGTCAGTCCTTCTCCTTGTCGCTGGGACGGAGTCCCTGACTCACGCCTCCCTGACCACCCGGACACCCAGCAGTGTGCTCACCAATCCCCGGTGGAGCAAGGCTTGACCTGGCTCAAGTGAGGGCTCCGGGGGTGGGGGTGGGGGTCGAGTGTGCCTGCAAGGGTCACCGCCCATTGGGTGAGGAGCAAGAGGCTGGCTCGGGTCCCTCGCACTGGTGACAGTGATTGCTGTGGGACGCAGGCGCGCGCACTCTGCAGGTGGGCTTCTGCATATGGACATTGCTGAGCGGGTGGCACTGGGGAGATGGCGGGCACAGCCCCGGGGCCTCTGGGTTCGTGCTTCATCTCCTGGACAGATGCGACTCGCCTGTCCCTGTGCTGGCTCAGTCCATTGTGCTACAGATGGCCCTGGAATGTCATGGCGGACTCAGCAGATGCCAAGCCGTGGAGAGCTTCTTTAAAAAGGGGAGGAAATGGGCATAATGGTGCACACTTGTAATCCCAGCACTCTGGGAGGCTGAGGCAGGACAGTCACACGTTTGAGCACAGCTGAGCAACTTAATGATACAGCAAGACCATGTCTGGAAACACAAAAAAAGGGGCTGGGGTGCAGCTCAGTGCAAAGGCCATGGGTTCAATCCCCAGTACCAGAAAAAAAAAGAAAAGGAACGAAACGAACCTCACAGTGATAGAAGAGTGCTTGCATTTCTTTTGTGACACTGGTGACAGTGAGCAGAGCCCTCCTAGGTCCTCAGCCCTTGTCCTTGGCTCAGTGTAACCAGAGCCAAGCTGTTCACCTCCTGGGCCTGTGTTTGTGCGTCTCATTCTCTTGGTCGCGTTCTGCAGTCTCTGTAGAGTAGCGTTGTGAAAGATGCACTAAGGAAACGGTCACGGCCTTCAGAGTAAGGACTGCTAGCGGCCGTGGGTCTGCTGGACTGGAAATTTCCGCACAGATGGAAACGGTTACCTGTCCCCCGTGGCTGTCTTCCCGCCCGCCCTCCTCATGACGTGACCCTGAAGGCGGGAGTTGTCTGCGCTGGCCTAGCCCCACATTCCTGGCCGCACTGGGCGTGACTGGCAGCAGGGTTGTGCCTGGAGTTTGGGCCTTGTGGGCTCCTCCTCTGCATAGGCTTCCCTGGGTGTGACTTGCTCCCCAGGGTTGGAATCGCATTTTCCATATGTTATGGAAAGCGCAGTGTGGTGCAATCCTGGTGACCTCTGCTGTGTGGAGAGGGTGATGGATCTGCAGGAAGAGGCAACTCCATGCCACATGGAGCCTGGAGGGCATCCGTCTGCAGGAGCAAGGGCCCATGGGACACTTCTCTGTGTGTTGCTTGCAGCTGGACTTCCTCCTGCCTCACCATCAAAGGGCCAGCGAGCACTGCCGCATTGAGCTCAAACCGCCAGCTGCCGCCTTCTCTGCACATTGAGAGATTTTGTAGTATATATTAGGGCTGTATTTAGGGTTGTGTTTAATCTATTAACTCAGTGTTTTGCTACTTAGTTTTTTTTGTGTGTTTTTGGTACCGGGGATTGAACTCAGGACCTTGCGCTTGCAAGGCAGGCAGCGGAACCACTGAGCTAAGTCCCTGGCCCTAACTTGGTGTTTTGAAGTACTAGATGTGTATTTATAATTTATGGTTAATGCTTATTGTATAAACATGCTTCTATGGCAGTACTTGGGAAAAATCCTGCCAGCTCCGGGCTGCTCTTCGCCGAGAATCTTGTGTGTCTGCTGGCCCTCCCAGGCCACTGTGCTAGTGGTGGCTGCTCCCCTCCCAGCTGCTCCCATCGGCTCTGGAGGCTTTGGGCTGGATGTGTCTGAATAAAATGCCCCGCTTCAAGTGCTGTCCCTGTGGACTCCTGCAGCGGAGAGGGGCCTGGCCTGGTGCTGCTCCCGAAAATGCCACATGCCTTCTCCCTGGCAGCCGGGCGCCATCCACGTTTGGGACATAGTTAGGACCAGGCCACCAGTATTCCCAGTGGAACCCTGTCTCACCCAGTGATGGTTTCCTTTCCTAACACAGTGTTTGGGCTCCGGGGTGTGCAGCTGGCTTCTTTAGTTTCTGTGTCCCTTAGAAGATGGCAGCCCTGGTCCAAGACACTCTTTTTGCACACTCGAGCACACTAGGGCTTTTCTCACCACGCCCACGCCCACGCCCTGGGCCAGGCAGGCTCGCTGCGCAGGGCTCGCTGTGCAGGGCTCCTGCTGGGCTCTCCCCTTCCTCTCCATGCCCTCTGCCCTGTGGAGCTGTGTGCTGCTTCTTCTCTGCACCGTCTTTGTTCTCCGTGTTTCACCTGTTTTGAAGGAGTATGTTTTTCCCTAATTAAATGTTTTGGGATCCTGTATATCCACAAATTTTTCTTTATCCCGATGTTGAAATTTTTATTGCCTTTAGCTTTCAGAAGTTTAATTACTGGGTAGGATGTGACTTGGCTGAGTGTCAACATTTATCCTCCTTGGGTCCCTTCAGGCTCCAGAGTCTACATGTGTGTTTTTGCTGAACCTGGGGCATCATCAGTGCCTCTCCCCTGCCCACAGCTTCGGTGCCACGGGAGAGCCCTTGTGCCACAGGTCTTGCTCTGCTCAGGGTTTGCTCGTCTGTTTGCTCTCTGTTGTTCAGTTTAAGTAATTTTATAAGTTCCATTTTTTAAGAGTAGGAAAGATTTATTGAGAAATAGCTCCTGAGAGACAGGAGGGTTCCTGGAAGTGGGTTGCCACCCAGGCCATTTGTTGGGAGTAATTTATACAGCAGTCACAATGTGGGTATAACATGGGTCAAACTGTAATCAACCTATAGGGTTGCAAGTGTAGCTGCTTAGCTAATATTGATCAAGTAGGGAAGCGGGTCATGTAAGATGGTCCATGGACAGAACAAAGGCATTGTGGGAAGGCTTGGGTCTAGATGCTCTGGTCACCCACCTGGGCGACTGGTCCCGTCTGGACTTCCTGGACCAGGTGGTGCTCAGATATTGTTCCAAGTTGCTGCTCATCCCTCAAGGAGGCCTGCAGGCCTGGCTGGTGCATCTTTATTGTGAGTCCTGCTCTTCTTCAGATATGCCTCTAGCCACAGTTCTCATGTCTGTATTTTTCTGCTGACTCCTTTGAGAGCCCAGTCCGACTCTGACTGTACATTGATTCCTGTCTGACTGAGCTGCCTGAGATAATATGACATCCCTGTCTTGTTCTCATTTTAGGGGGAATGTGTTCACTTTTCCCCCATTGTGTGATGCTGGCTATTGGTTTGCCGTATATAGCTTTTATCATATTCAGGCCCTTCTGTACCTGTCGTCTTCAAGGTTTTATCATGAAGGATGTTGAATTTTTTTGAAAGCCTTTTCTGCATCCATTGATAGGATCATATAGTGTTTGACCTTGCTTCTGTTTGTGTGATGTGTTACGTTTATTGCCTTACGTATGTTGAACCACCCTTTTATTTCTGGAATAAAGCCTACTTGATCATGGTGTATGACCTTTTTGATAATGTGTTGCATTCTGTTTGCTAATGTCTTGTTAAGGATTTTTTAATCTGTGTCCATTAAGGAGATTGGCCTGTAGTTTTCTTTTTCAGTTGGGTCTTCATGTGGTCTGGGGATCAGAGTGGGGCTAGCTTCCATAAATGAATTTGGGAATGCTCTATCCCTTTCAGTTTCTTTGAAGAGCTTGAAGAGAATTGGTGATATAACATCCCTAAAGGTTTTGTAGAACTCAGCAGTGAATCTGTCAGGTCCTGGGCTGTTTTTAAGAACTCCTTTCGACAAATTAGAGGAATCTTTTTTTTTTTTTTGGTACTGGGGATCGAACTCAGGTCCTTGCACTTGCGAGGCAGGCGCCAGAACCACTGAGCTAAATCCCCAGCCCTGGGCTGTTTTTAGTTGGTAGATTCTTTATTACCGTGTCAATTTATGACCAGGTCTTAAATATGCTTTTCTTAAATTTGAAATGAACTCATCCTTAAACTGCTTGACTTTCAGGTCCCAGTCAGTTTTGTTTTCTTTTTTTGTGGTGTTATAGATGGAAGCCAAGACCTCTCACATGCTTAGGCAAGCAGGCGCCTCCCACTGAGCTGCATCCTCAACCCAGTTTTTTCTTTTTCCTTTTCGAGATAGGGTCTCACTGTGTAGCCCAGGCTGGCTTCAGATTGCAGCTGTTACTGGCCCTTTAGGTTTACACGCTCAGGTTTGTTTGCACACTGCTGACCGAGTCCAAGGAGGCCTATGTTTGGTAAAATAGAAAAGGGATTTATTAAAGTGAGCTCTGAGGAGATGGAGGGGCCCATTTGGCTCGGATCACTGTCCCGCCATGCACAGGTGGGCAAGGGTCTTTCACAGGGAGGAGGATGGGAGGGGACAGAGAGAGAGAGTGCAGGGCCCACACTGGCCCTGCCACCTTCAGCTCCTCTGGAGAGGAAGGAGCTCCAGGCCTGGGCAGCCTGTGTTCTCCCACTCAGCTGGACTGAGGACCGGAGGGAGTGCTGTTGCATGCTCAGCAGGAGGAAGCTTGGAGAAGTCGCTTAGCTCTGAAAGAGAAAAATCTAGTTTGTACAGTTCCATTTTGCACTCCTTGTTGCACAGCAGTCCTCCTGTAACGGGTCCTGCGGAGTGAGTGGGCTCTGAAAGTTGGCTGGGCGCGGTGGCACACACCCGTGATCCCAGCACTCTGGGAGCCTGAGGCGGGGAGGGATTGCAGGGAGTTTGAGCCCAGCCTGGGCTACATAGTAAGTTCAGGACCAGCCTAAGTTCCATTTTTTTTCCTGCCAAGGTTTTCCGCTCCTCTTTTTGTCTATTTCAAGGGAATTTGTCCCTGCTCTTTGAAGATTGCTGGCTCCTTAAGCTCTTTCTTCCGGTGACTCCTGCATCAGCCTCCTCCTGTCTCGGTGCTGCATTGCTTGGTTGTTGGAATTCCCTTGTTCCGGCTGTGGTTGTCCTCCTCATGGGAGCGTTTCCATTGTGTCCCGGACACCTCAGAGACAGTGTTGGAGCCCTGTGCATCCCCCGGCCTCTGTTCCTGCTGTGCACTCAGGGCCTGGCAGTGCAGCTGGTCCTGCCGGAACGGGACGATGTAGGGCTGCTTGTGGAGGGTGTGTCGAGGAAAGCCACCTGACCTGCTCCTGTGGGGGAGGGTGGGGCCGGGACTCCCTGCCCTGGCTTCACTGGCACCTTGGGGCTGGGTGGGACAGACTCACTCACTGCCGGAGCAGGGAGGTGGCCGGTACCAGGGAGCTGGCGAGGCACGTCAGCCTGGCACGGCTCCCTGAGGCCCTGCTGGGCTGCCCCTTCCCCCTCTGTGGCAGTGATCAAGGGCAGCCTCACCGAGACCGGCCTGTCTGGGTCGGACTAGACCAGGTGGCCTGCAGGCTCGGCCTCTTCCTGCCCCAGACTTCAGTGTGAAGCCTTTGAGAACAGTGCAGTTAGAGATGGGAATGACCGGATCTTCCATCAGTGGGGTGAAGATCACTGTGTTCAGCCACACCCAGCGTTGGCAAAAGCTTGACAAAACAGGACTCCTCGATTCTGGCAGTGGGCATTTCTTAGTGTAGAGCTTTCTGGAGGTTATTTTAGAAGTATGTGTTAAAATCTGAACTGTGTTGTACGTGTCCTCTGACATAAACTCTAGGCGTATTTCTCCTTGTGTTCAGAGATTGGTGTGCAAGCATTTTTAATGTAGCCTTGTTTTTCAAGATAAGAAAAGCACGGGCCAGGGATTTAGCTCAGTGGTTCTGCCCCCTGCTGTGCAAGTGCGAGCGCAAGGACCTGAGTTCTATCCCCAGTACCAAAAAAAAGATAAGAAAAGCACTGTTTAATTTATAGAACATTGCTAGACATGACCGGAACATCCACTAATGGAGGAGCGGTTAGATGATGGTAGTCAGGCAACTGTTACCTGGGTCGTTGCTGCTAAGTCCTGCTCGGGAGTTGGGCACGGTGACTGCGTCTTGTGTATGGTAGAGGAGCGTGTGCCCTGGGACCCGTCTGAGTGTATGTGAGCCGGTGTGTGGGTCCTGCAGGGCTCGCCAGTGGGCCAAGCACCTGGGGACCGACATGAATTGGAGTGACCCGACCTGAGCCATTCTGGGCATTCCTGCCAATGTTCTGGCTGCTGCTGCGGGGGTGGCCTGTGATCTGATGCTTTCCTATGAAGCTGACTAAGCTGATGGAGCTTTCTCCCCCCACCTGTTTCTTAGGACATGACGGATAATAGCAACAATCAGCTGGTAGTGAGAGCGAAGTTTAGCTTCCAGCAGACCAACGAAGATGAACTGTCCTTCTTGAAGGGCGACATCATCCATGTCACGCGCGTGGAGGAAGGAGGCTGGTGGGAGGGCACGCACAACGGCAGAACCGGCTGGTTCCCCAGCAACTACGTGCGCGAGATCAAGCCAAGTGGTAAGTGGCCGGGCTGGGTGTGGGCCCTGGAGGAGGAGCGCAGGCGCCAGCGTTTACCCTTCCCTGTGTGGGCTGTGGGGTCAAGGGCTCCACTCATACAGACTGGCTTTGCACTCTGTCCTGACGTTTTGCGGACAGGAAGAGAAATGTCTCAAACCCATCAAGTTTTTTGTTGTTGTTTTGTTTTGTTTTTTAAATTGGGGCAGGGTTGCTATGTTACCTAGGCTGGTCTTGAACTCTTGAACTCTTGGGCCCAAGTGTGCCCCACCACAACCTCTTGGATACCTTGGAGCACAGGTGCCGCTGCCACACCTAGCCTTCCTTTTTATTGTTACACCTTCATGTCAGGATATATGTTATCCTTTTTCAGGGCCAGCGTCAGGGCCTGGAATTTGTAGTTTGTAGGCTATGTTTAAGCTTCATTAGTGTGGGTACTTCTGCTGGTCATGTGCAGGTAGGCAATTTCTGCCATTTTTGGTACCAGTAATCGTGTTGAAATGCATCTCTTTCCTTGTGCTTCTGTGGCTGACCTGGCCAGGGAGGCTAGTGATCTTCTGCAAGGGAATATGTGCTGTAGTGGTCTTTGCTTTGTTTTCAGGCAGCGTAGCAGGGATCTATATCATGGGTTGGATGTTTTCTCTGAGGCTTGTGGTTTGGCCTCTGTCATCTGGCTGTGGCTGTGAAAGTTCAGTAAGGCTGGTGACTCATGGCCTGGCCCTGTCTGTTCACGGGACACAGTACCATCTGTGGTCCTGACGTGTGTGTTGCTTGGCCATGCTACAGCCACGGATCATCAGTGCGAACTGAGGAGAAGCTCTGAGAAGACTGCTGGGTCTTGTGAGTGCCGCTGAGCAGTTCTTGGCTCAGAGGGCCTGTGGCAGGGCCTGTGTCGGAGGTGTGTGTATCTTGGTTTGACAGTGTGCCTGGGTGCAGGTGCAGATGCAGAGGAAGTGCGGTGAGATTGAAGAAACCAGGGCTGCGGGTGAGTAGGGCGGGGTGAGGTGAGCTTGGTTCTGTGAGCTGTGCACCACTGCTTTGTGCTTTGCTCCTGCCTTTGAGAGGCAGTTGTGTGACGGGTCCTGCTGACTCCGCCAGGTGAGAGCTGCTTACTTCCGAGACAGCTGTAGACAGGCAGCGTGGGTGGACCTTGCCCAGGGCTCCTGGGCTGTGCTGCTGACATGAGCCCTGTGTGCCTCAGTGCTGCAAGGGGTGCTCCCTGGATGGTAGTGCTGCTTTTTATTTTTTAAGGCAGTGAAAACAGAAGTTTATAGATGTAACTATGACAGTTTTGATACAAAGATATTCTCTGTGTGACGGTCTCATAAGGTAAGTTTTACCATGGCGGCAAGCAGCTCTGAGTTGTGGAGCTCTCTGGCAGTGGACTTTTGGGAACAGCACCTGCTTGTTCTCTTAATCATGACAAAGCGCTTATAATGTACGCCTCACCGTTCTGTAGCATTGCGCACACTCACGTTGTTCAGTAACCATCACCACCACCACTTCCAGAGCATTCTCATTTTCCCAGCCTGAATCTCCAAGCCAGGAAACACTGACTCCCTGTTCCCCTCCCAGGCCCTCATGCTGGTGCTCTTCCTTCTAACTTCATGAATCCGGTGACCGAGTGACCGTGCCAGAGAAATCTACTGTTTCTGTCTTTCTGACGGCCTTATTTCACTGAGCATGAGTGCTCAGTCCAGGTGGCAACGTGTCCGGATGTCCATCTTTAGGGCTCGGTGACAGTCTCATCGTGTATGTGCCGTGCTTGTTTGCCCACCCGTGGGCTCCCAGGTTGCTCCAGGTTCTGCCTTTGCAGGCTCTCCTTGGCTTATGAAGGGTGATGCCTGGATAGACTCACTGTAAGTTTTAACATCCTAAGTCCAAAGTGCATTTAGTGACCCCACCCTGCCGACCATCATAGCTTAGCCTAGCCTCTTAAACATGCTCACACGGTCACACTAGCCTGCAGTTGGGCATCACGAGAATATTGTATTAAATATTGCTAGCCTAGGAATAGATCAGTGTTCTTCAAGTACAGTTCCTATGAATGTGTCTTGCTTTTGTACCAGTGTGAATTTGAGAAAGGGCTGTCTGCATATACCCAGGAATGGGATTTCTGGATCAGATTGTAATTGTATGCTTAAGTTTTGAGGAGCTGCCATTCTGTTTTCCAGTTTGGTACCATTGTACAGACCTGTCAGCAGCATGCAAGATTTCAGTTTCTCCACATCCTCAGCAACTTAGTTTTTCTTGATTGTAGCCATTCTGTGGGTGTGATCATTAATTGTGATCTGTCAGCTTGCCTTGAGTAAGGACTGCCTAGCAGATCAGTAGATTCTGGGCGTGTCCATGGGCGATTGACACCCCAAACTGAGGGAAGGGAGACCCACCCTAGATGTGGGGGGCATCAGCCAGTAGGCTTATAGCCTGGATGGCATGGAAAGGGAAGAGGAAGGAGTCTGGCCTTTTTGGTGGAGGAGCTGTGGTCGTCACCACTGTCTAGATGTTGGTCTCTAATGCAGACTCTTCAGCCTTCAGCTGCAGATTATTGGGCTTTCCAACACATACTTACATCACTGACTACAGTGAGCTTCCAGGTCTTCAGCCTCCACTATCCTGGATTCTCTATCTTTCTAGGGTGCAGACGGCCAGTTTGGACTTTTCTGCCTCTGATTCTGAGGGCAGCTCTTAATGACTCCTTCCCTACTGATCCTGTAGCCTACCAAATAAGTCTTCTGTACAATTAATCATACATTTTATATTGTGTTCCTCTAGTGAACTCTAACTAATACAGATTTTGGTACCTAGAGTAGAGTTGTTGCTGTGACCTACCTGGCCATGTGATTTAGAAGCCCTTGGAACTGGCTTGTAGGAGGGGTTTGGAAAGGTTTGGAGATGCAGGTTGGAGAAGCAGGCCTGGAATGCTGTAAGCCAAGCTTGATGGGAGAAATTCTGATCAAACCTCAGAAGATCAGAATGCTGAAAGAAATATAGACTGTCAGTACCAGACTCAGGTGGTTTCAGTTGGATACAAGGATTCCATTGACAGCTGGGCTAGAGGCCTTGTGTGTATGCTTTGGCACAAAATTTGTCTGCATTTTGCTCATGTCCTGAGATGAGGTTGGAATTGTGTGGTGGAATAATTGGTCTGGCATAGGAAATTTCAAGGCAGCCCAGCATTCGGGCTGTAACATGGATACTTCTGGTAGCTTTTAGTCAGGTCTATACTGAAAGTCAGGAGCAAGAAGCTCATTTGAAAAGTTTTCAGCTTGCCCAGAAAGGATGTGCCTACAAAGGTAGTGCCTTGGAGAGGGGGCTGCTAGAAAGATTAAACAGAAGCCAATAACTGGACCTCAGGACAGCAGGAGCAATGTGCGGAAGGCCTCCGTCCTGGGAACCAGCAGGACCCACCTTTATCAAGGCTAGGAGGTTCAAAAGTGAATGGATGACTTTGCTTTGAGAAGAGAGCCCCAGGGCACTCTGCTCCAGAGGGCTGCATAGGGAATTGCTTCATAGCTGTTGAGGCACTTGGAGGCCCCTGCAGCCATGGTTCAAGGGCACCCAACTGCTGCTTTAGCTGGCAGCGGACTTGGCATCATTCTTGTGGTGCTGATTTTATGGTCACGCAGATTGCAAGAGTTGTGGGTTAATGGAGGCTTCCACCCAGATTTCAGAAGAAGGCCTAGGAGGCTGGGGAGTGTGCCCTGACCACCAGTGTGTGTAGCCTCGAGAGTGTAGCGAAAAGTGCAGTAGAGACCCCAGGAAGTTGGGAGATGCCAAGAATGTGACGCATCTGAGGAAAGTCACAGGCATTGAGTAGAGTTGTCCCAAGGAAGAAGCCATGAGGGCTCCCACTGGTAGGGCCGTGAGGGTGGGGCCACCAGAGCCAGTTGGAGATTCTATCTTTGCCCCAGGTGCTAGACACAGACTGCAGGATTTAACCCTTTATCCTCTGTATGGTTTCTTGGTTTGCCCTGCTGGATTTCAGCCTTGCTTTGGTCCCATTGATTTCTATACCTTTGTTTCTTCATTTTGGCATGAGGGTGTTTACCCTGCGCTGCTGTGTTGGAAGTGTTTAATATTCTTTTTGATTTTTCACAGGGGCTCACAGCTAAGAGCAGCCTTGAGTCTCAGGGGAGACTTGGGCCTTGCACTTTTCAGCACTGCTAGAACTATTAACACTTTGGTGATTCTTAAAGATGGACTGAGTGCATTTTGCATAAAGAGATGCTCACCAGTCCTTTGCTGGCCAGGGACGGAATGTTACGGTTCAGATCAAAAATGACCCCTGTGCCTCATGCATTTGGGAGGTGACTGGACCAAGGGCCTCAGAGCTGACTCTGAGGAGGTGGGGCCTGGTGGGAAGAGGCTATCACTGGGGCGTGGCCTGGAAGGTTCCTCCCCCTCTCGGCTCCTCCCCTCTCTCTGCTTCAAGACCAGCATGACGTGAGCAGTGTTCCTCCATCAGATCCTTCTACCCTGGCTTCCAGCCTTCCAGCCAGCCAACTATGGACTAAAAATATGAGCCAAAATAAACCTTTCCTCCTTCCATTTGTGAGCATTGGGTATTATTTCCCAGTGATGAGAAAGTGGCTAAGATGGATTTTGGTAGCAAAAGTGGGTCTGTGGGTATGAGGTGTAGTTATTAATAATATAAAAAGCAGGGCTGGGGATTTAGCTCAGTGGTCCTGGTTACCCCCCCCCCCCCAAAAAAAAAAGCAGTATTTTTTTTTTTTGTACCGGGGATCGAACTCTGGTCCTTGTGCTTGCAGGGCAGGCAGTGGAAGTATTTTTTGTTTTTAATCTTAAAATCAACTTAGCTGAGATTTGTTTGGCTGCTTATTATGTTCTAGTTACTGTATGAAGTTAGTTTTTTTTTTTTTAAATCTATGACCTTGGGCTTCATCATAGCCTCAGAAGATGAGTATTGCTGAGGCTCCAGGGGAGTAGGGAGCACGTAAATGAGAGCCCTTCAGAAACCTCCATCCCACATACGGCCGGGA